GAACAAAAACTCATGTTATTAGGCTATGTCCTGTGCTGTTGGAATTTTGGAAAATACCAATTTTTGGCCACTAGGTGGTGATACATCTAATATGTCCTATGATACAAAGTGCCATCTAGTGGCCAAATACGCCATTTCCACTCAATAAAAACATTCGAATAGCACGGGATATATCCAAATAATATTTTTTTGCCCAGTTTGCACAGAATGAATGTAGATGCACTTTCACTGGGTGAATTGCTAAGCATAGACACACCCCTATGAGTCAGCTGACTCACTAAAAACAGTATTCTCTTTGAAATGTTGTTATTTTAATACCTGTAACAGTGAATCTGTTGAGAACGTAAAGAGGAACTTCACTCCCTTACCCTCCTCATCCCATCTTTCCTGTAATTTTCAGAAAAATCACTGATCTGTCCTGTGAATCCAGCTTTCTCCTACTGTGATCTGCTGACACTGCCCAGGTCCTGCACTGCATTCTCCCCTTCATATGTCATTGGTCTCTGAGGAAGAGGTACAACCTTGAAACGCGTCAGCCACCAGCTATCCAGAGGTCTACAGTTCCCCACCAGACCACCTTCAGGGGTTTGGACCACATCGCATCCCTTGTGACATGCTTTCCATTTGATTTGATTTGATTTCTCTTGTGAGTATTTTACTTTTTACAAATAAATCTAATTTTTAAAGGTAATGCACTAGGCCCATGCGCCCTCCTTTTGTCTCTTTATATACATCTGACTGTACTTTTGGGGTTCAGATGGCCAAACTCAATGAAGCACCACCAGGTCCGCCCTTTGGCCACCGTGTGTCTCCCTCATGGGATATGTGGTGGAGATATCTCAGGAGGCTTCAGGAGCAGGGCACATCATTCTCGCCTAGGCAGCAATGGTGGATGGAGTGGGCCAGTGAAAAAAAAAATTAAAAATTAAAAAAAGGACAAGGGATGTTTCAGTTCATGCCGAAGCTGTTCAGCAGGCTTAAGGTCAGGTCTCTGTACAGACTACCTGAGTTGCTCCACACCAAACTCATCAAACCATGTATTTATGGAGCTGGTTTTGTACCCAAGGGCACAGTCATGTTAGAGAATAAAAGGGTCTTTCCCAAAGCCTTTATTCCCTTAAAGAGGAAGGACCTGTCACCTCCATCCACATCACTAAAATTAAAAGAAGTGGAAGAAAAAAGAAAAGAAAAGAAAAGGAACTTCACTGTGGGCACCCGGCTGTGACAGCTTGCGACTTCACAGACGGGTGTCCACTGCGCATGCGCGAGTAGCGCAGCGTTTCCTGAATGGCCCCGTAGTCTTCTGGGACCTGTCACGTACGTATCCTAGAAGGCTACAGGGAGGGAGGGTAGGACAACTTCAGCTTCCGAAGGTCTAGGCGTTCGCAGCAGAAGTGGGAGCGGGTACCTGTCAATTTCGGGTACCTGCTCCACCCACTCCCCAAAGGTTCCAATCCTGGGGATCAATCTTTAAAACAGAACTTCCCCTTTTGGGTGGAACTCCACTTTAAGTTGAATTTGTATGTAAGTTGGAACAGGTACATTTTTTAAGCGTAACTCCAACCAAAAAAAATATTTTTAAGGTTTGAATAGCATAGGGAAGGGTTAGCTGGCCACGCAGTGATGTGGGATTGCTGACAGGTCCGCCAGACACTAGTTGGGAGCATGTGGTGAGCAGCAAGACAAGCGTGACATCACTCTGCCTCCGTTCTTAACCCCCCTGGAGGTATTCCTGAGTGTAGCTCGGGGTAAAGTTTCAGCACCACAAGCGGTAACCCCCCCCGAGCTACACTCGGGAATACACTGCAGCGTTGCTCCGGGATCTCTTCTGCACTTACCTTGTCCTGCGCTCCCGCGATGTCCCTCCTGCAGTGTCCCCAGCAATGTCCTCCGGCTGATGCCGGCATCTGTCTTCCGGGTTCCATTCCCTGCGACGTCGGGACGTACGGGGGACGGAACTGGTGGGAAATTTGAAGGTTGTAAAAGTGACATTCACTAAATACACTAAAATCACATAGTATAACATTCCTGTATCAAACCATTTCACATACATTTTGTCCCGAGTGCTTTGTCCGGCGCCCTGCCTGCATTTTTACTGTTCTTTCTGCCTGGAAACTGAGAAACGTCCATGGCGTCCAAAAAGCGTCCCTTTAGGTCAGACGCGGTTTTAAACCAGCTAGAGAACAGCGATAGTAAATCAGAACCACTTGCAGAATTGAGTGATAATGATTCGTGGGGGAAATTCCTCATCAGACACTGAAAACGATTCTGAGACTTTGCTCAGCGATGTGCGAACTTGGCGCTCTATTTCACATTTCAGTGTTTTTGGTTTGATTATATTATTGAATTAAATTTATTATTATTATATTATTATTTTTTATGATTATTTATTAAATTATAATTTATTATTTCGTGTTTCAAATGTTATCATCCCCGGGATGTTTACTAGACTCTTGTTTGGACAGATTTCAGTGAGTTATTCCTAAGAATTACAGGCCTACAATAAAAAAAATACGTATTTCCATGCAAAAAAATGTACCGCTTTGAGCACAGAAATACTGACATAATCAGACCGCTAGGGGGGTTAAGTATGAGTTGTTTGTAGATGGGATGTTTTGTATTTCGGGGACTGTCTGTATCTGCTCCATCTAAGTTTGCAGACCAGTCTGATCCTTCTCCGGGAAGAGATTTGCTCCCTACATTACCGCAGCCACTGACACAGGAGCCATTACAATGGGAAAACAATGTGAGGTTCGGCGTGGATACGCACGCACTGATGTAATGAAGTTCTAAGGATGATTTACTATTTGCTTTGTGATAAGTCATTTACTGAGGCAATTAAATATGCAAAGCTCAGTAAAACAAATGACATTTCAGATACTGTTGAATGACTGCTTTATCATGGTCCGCGCTGTTTGCATATCTTACTCTGTGACTGTCTAAGGACAAAATTAGTGCCTCTAAATATATTGAAATAAGATTTCCTGGAAATGCATTAAAACTGCACAACTGAATTAGTCCCCGCGCCATGCTGTGACAGCTGTAAAAATGAGAGCGATTGGCCAACCGAAAAAGAAAAAAAAAAAAAAAGACCACTAGCATTAACGCTGACCTCCAGCCCTAATCTTTTGTTTTTTTTTCCGTTTAAAATACATTGGAGAAGTTACAGTTTCTCTCAGGTTTTTATTACTGTCTGTGTCCCCATTGGGGAGATTTTCCTTCACTTCCTGTCCATGTGATAGGAAGACAAGAAATGCAGAGGTCTCCTGGACCGGAAAACAAATGCAGCCACTGCATCCAAGGACTGGTAAATTGCAATTTATTACATTTGTGTGCTCGGGTTTAACCACTTGCCCTCCTGAGGAATCCCCCCCCCCCCTTCTCTTCCTGACCTGGCCATTTTTTGCAATACGGCGCTGAGTTACTTTAACTGACAATCGCAATCATGCAACACTGTACTTAAATGAAACTTATGTCATTTTTTTCCCCCCACAAATAGAGCTTTCTTTTGGTGGTATTTAATTGCCTGTGCGTTTTTTATTATTTGTGCTATAAACAAAAAAAGACCGTCAATTTTGAAAAAAAAAATAATATTTTTGACTTTTTGCTGTTAACCACTTCCAGTCCGGACACTTTCACCCCCCTTCCAGTCCGGACACTTTCCCCCCCTTCCAGTCCGGACACTTTCACCCCCTTCCAGTCCGGACACTTCCCCCCCTTCCAGTCCGGACACTTTCACCCCCCTTCCAGTCCGGACACTTCCCCCCCTTCCAGTCTGGACACTTTCCCCCCTTCCAGTCCGGACACTTTCACCCCTTCCGGACCGGACACTTTCCCCCCTTCCTGTCCGGACACTTTCCCCCCCTTCCAGTCCGGACACTTTCCCCCCCTTCCAGTCCGGACACTTTCCCCCCTTCCAGTCCGGACACTTTCACCCCCTTCCAGTCCAGACACTTTCCCCCCCTTCCAGTCCGGACACTTTCCCCCCCTTCCAGTCCAGACACTTTCCCCCCCTTCCAGACCGGACACTTTCCCTCCCTTCCAGACCGGACACTTTTACCCCCTTCCAGACCGGACACTTTTACCGCCTTCCAGACCGGACACTTTCACCCCCTTCCAGACCGGACACTTTTACCGCCTTCCAGACCGGACACTTTCCTCCCCCTTCCAGTCCGGACACTTTCCCCCCCCTTCCAGTCCGGACACTTTCCCCCCCTTCCAGTCCGGACACTTTCCCCCCCTTCCAGTCCGGACACTTTCCCCCCCTTCCAGTCCGGACACTTTCCCCCCCTTCCAGACCGGACACTTTCCCCCCCTTCCAGACCGGACACTTTCCCCCCTTCCAGTCCGGACACTTCCCCCCTTCCAGACCGGACACTTTCCCCCCCCTTCCAGACCGGACACTTTTACCCCCTTCCTGACCAGGGCAATTTTCAGCTTTCAGCGCTATCACACTTTGAATGACAATTGCGCGGTCATGCAACCCTGTACCAAAATGAATTTTTTACCATTTTTTTGAGACAGATAAAGCTTTATTTTGGTGGTATTTATTCACCACTGGGATTTGTATTTTTTTACTATGTAAATGAAATGTCCAAACATTTTGAAAAAAAGTGTTTTTTTTAATAAAATTTTGCAAATAAATAATATTTCATCATACATCTTGGCCAAAATTTATTCCGTTATCTTTTTAGTAAAAAAAAAAAAAAAATCCAAATTAGTTTATAACCAAAAATTATAATTTTTAAACATTTTTTTTTACATTTTTATTTTATTTTTTTATATTATTATTTTTTATTTTTACATTTTTTTTTTACATACTGTCACACCCTAGCAGTACAGTGTCACCATGGTGACACTGTACTACTTGTGGGGGGTGATGAAGATTTTTTTTTTTTTTTTTTTTTTTTTACACATTGCTTTTACACCCATATAGGATGTAAAAGCAATCATTTCTCTTTCTCTCTGGCTGCATTCTTGCAGTCATTGAGAAGTACTGAGTGAGCTGTGATTGGTCACAGCTTGTCACATGGTACAAGGCTGTTGTGAATAGCCTTGTACCATGTGACCTCTGTGATCATTCACAGATTTCACACGTAGTAAGCAATGATGTCACAAGTGACATCTTGCTTACTACTTTGCATTTGATCACTGATTGGCCAATCAGTGATCACATGATTGGGACCTCGTACAGAGGTCCCGTCCGACGATCGGTGTTTCACTGTCCGGAGGACACAGCGGGCACCGGATCGCGGTGCTGCGCGCTCCCAGGGAGCGCGCACAAGCAGGGTGCGGGGAGGCCGTTTATAAATGGCCACCTGACCCTGCACTGCCACCGTCCGGCCCGTTTATATGCAACGGCCGGTCGGGAAGTGGTTAAACATGTCCAATAAAAAATTTTTTAAAAATCTAATTTCTTCATAAATTTAGGCCAAAATGTATTCTGCTCCGTGTCTTTGCTAAAAAAACAAAACAAAAAAAAAACAATATTTGTACAGTTAGGTCCATATATATTTGGACACAGGCACAATTTTAGTTTTTTTCAGGTATTTACCAAAACATATTCAAGCTATAATTATATAATGGATATGGGCTGATAAGTGCGCACTCTCAGGTGTAATTTGATTGGAGGAAGGACTTAGGAATTACAGCTCTTAAGAGTAGCCATCCCCCCTTTTTTCAAGGGATCGTCCTCCAATTTGGATGTACATACCCTCAAATTATACCTGAGTGTGTACTTTCAGCCCATATCCAATATAGAACTATAGCTTGAATATGTTTTGATAAATACCTGAAAAAAAACTAAAATTGTGCCTGTGTCCATATATGCATGGACCTAACTGTATATTAATTGGTTTACGTGAAAGTTATAGAGTCTACAAATGGCGGTATATATGCTTTTTATTTTTTTCATACTAGTAATGGTGGCAATCAGCGACTTATAGCGGGACTATCGCGGACATTCTGACACTGGGGAGGTGGGGAACTGATTGCCACTGACATCCCCAGTGACCCTAATATAGTGATCAGTGCTAATGAAAAGCACTGACACTGTACTAATGGCACTGGGCAGGAAGGGGTTAACATCAGGGGCAATCAAAGGGTTAAATGTGTGCTGTGTGTGTGTGTTTTACCATGGAGACATGCTGCTTTGTATCTCTCTGCTGTGCTTTTCAAACCGGTGCTAATGAAAAGCACTGACACTGTATTAATGGCACTGGGCAGGAAGGGATTAACATCAGGGGCAATCAAAGGGTTAACTGTGTGCTGTGTGTGTTTTTACCATGGAGACATGCTGCTTTGTATCTCTCTGCTGTGCTTTTCAAACCGGTGCTGAATGAAAAGCACAGACACTGTACTAATGGAACTGGGCAGGAAGGGGTTAACATCAGGGGCAATCAAAGGGTTATCTGTGTGCTGTGTGTGTCGCACCGGTGTGAACCAGGGGGAAGTCTGCATTCACACTTGTGCGCCTTTTCATGCAACTTCGGACACAGTGAGGTTGATTTACTAAGTCCTCCTGCACACGGGACATTTTTACAGCGGCTGTTTTTTGGCTTTTGATGTTTTTTTTTCTACAGCCAGTAAACCCCCCAGCATGTTATCCTATGTGTCCATTCACACATAGACTGGAATCAATGGTTTTTGGCTGGAAAAAAAAAAAAACAGGACTAGCGGGTTTCTAGAGGAGTATTTTAGCTATAAAAATGCTCTAACGCCGACAAACGCAGCAAAACATGGTAAAACGCTGCAAACTGGTGTTTTTGGACTTTTTTTTTACCAAGAAAAACTTTTTTGGTTAAAAAAAATGCTAAAAAAAAACCGCTAAAAATGCGAACATAGAAGAAAAAATGCTGTTAAATGCGGCAAAACACTAATGCAATAACAACAAAAAACAGCGCAAAATCTGCAAACAAAATAGTTTTTTGGCGCCGGGATATATATTTTTTTGACTAATGCAATAATGCTAAAAAAAAGTTGAAAAACTCACATTTTTAACGCGACTTTATGCCGCTAACGTTACTCGCGCTAAACTGGAGAGCGCAAATCTGGTGCAGCTCTGCAGAGGAGCCAATCAGCTTCCAAGTTGTTTTGTCAAAGTGTAAGGCCTTGACACACCTATTCAGGTTGCGTTTGAGCCATTTCTGCATTGCGTTTTGCGCTGTATTTTTCACCAGCGTTTTTGATGCGTTTTGCATTTTTTTTACTTTTCTTTTTTGCCTATGTAGGTTGTGTTTGAGCCACATTGCGTTTTGCGCTGTGTTTTGCATTTTTGCACCAGCATTTTTGATGCGTTTTGCATTTTTTACATATTTTTTGCCTATGCAGGTTACGTTTGAGCCATTTCTGCAATTGCGTTTTGCTCTGTATTTTGTGTTTTTGCAGCATTTTTGCCTCTTTTTTGATGCGTTTTGCATTAAAAAAAAAAAAATTTTCCCTATGTAGGTTACGTTTTGCATTTTTAAAAAAAAAATTCTTGTTGCTAGGCAGGTTTAAAACACAAAACGCATAAACAAAGAGGCAAAAATGCTGCAAAAACGCACTACATGCATTTCTGCAGCATTTCCATTGAAGTCTATAGAACCAGAAAAGCAACTTTTTGCATTCAAAAAAGTCCCTGACCCTTTCCAAAAAAAGGCGGAGATGTGAACGTGTCCCATAGGAAATCATGTCAAATGGACTGTAGTGTGTTTCTGCAAAACGCTTAGGCTGGCCATAATACATTATACAATTTTCTTGAGAATTTTGCTTTAGATTTACCAAAAACCATATAATAGGAGGTCAAACCTAACAACACTTTCAATTGTATCCAATTAGGCGGGCTCTTGCACTACATAGCTGACAGTAAATCTAAAAGAAATTGGGTAGCAATTGAACAGACAATTGTATAGTGTATGGCCAGCCTTATGCAGGCCATAGATGGGTCTAAAATCGGCCAATTTTTCAGTGGAAAAAAGAATCGGCCGATTAGTTAGTGGGTTAATTGGTCGGCCATTTTTTGGGTTTTCGGCACATTTTTTTTATTGGTAAAGTTGGAAAAAAATCGGCCGATTTTACCGATCGGCCGATTTTCCCGGAAATGATGGGCAAATCAGGAAGAAGAAGAAAGAGAAGGAGAAAAGGAGAAGAAGGAGAAGAAAGAAGAATTCCAGTCCGCTATTATATTTTATAGGTAAAGTATTGCGGTTGCAACAATGTATCCATTTGTATCCGAATAAAAACATTTGTATCCGACATGGATACAAATGGATACAAATGGATACATTGTTGCAACCGCAATACTTTTTCATGTCAAATATAATAGCGGAGCTCTCTGCAAGGGACAGAAGTAATTAAATGGCGGCCGTAGACGGGACAAAAATCGGCCGTTTTTCTTTACAGTTGGCAGTAACGTCGGCCGATCAAACGACTGATTTTTCATTTTTTTAATAAAAAAATGGCCGGTTTTCGACCCATCTATGGCCTGCATTAGGTGTGAACCGAGGGTAACTGAACAGACTGAAATTAGAAGCTGATTGGCTACTGTGCACAGCTGCATCAGACTCTGAGTCCTCTGGTTTTAGTAAATCAGCCCCATAAAGGCACCAGAGAAGTCACAGTCCATGTATTTCAAAGGAAGCCGTTCAAATCGATGCGATTTAAAAGTCGCGGTGACTTTAAAAAGGCTCCTGCACTACTTTGATGTGTGCCACAGACTGCAACATAAACTCTCAAAAGTCACATCCCAATGTTATCATTGCGACGGTCGTAGCCAAAGTCGCACCCATCCAAAGTCGAAATGGAAATCGCACAACTTTGGAGTCTAAATGAATATTTCTCTTTTTCCAGTTTTAAGAAAAAAAAGTTTTTGACGGGTGAAAATGGTATTTGTGTTTGGCTGGAAGGACGATTTTAGTTCCCTGTTGGCTAAGAGGTTATAAATTGCCCGAAGTTGTGTGTATTTTCTGGTTTTCACAACCTGATCTTTGATGTGTGCTTCAGCATCCAGATAAAAGGCTCTATTGAGGCTCCGAGTGCTTTCTCCACCGATCTCGCCTCCCCCCGGCTTGGGGGGGGGGGGGTGCTTGGCCTGACTTCACAGAGAGAGCGTCTTCCCCGATAAAGGGAGAGGGAGGCTTTGTGAGCTTCCCAGGCTGCTTGTCCAGCTGAGTGGAGGGCAGAGGGAAGTGGTGGCCCCTTGTGTTGGGATTACACTGACATCATTGTGTCTGGGTGGCATCCAAGACTGTGTCGATGTTGTATGGTGAGCGTTTATAGCCCGACCCCGGCCGTCGGGGGGTAACCGGCTCCCCCGCAGCGCTGAATCCCAACGATCCTATACTCTGACAATCTACCATGACCTCTGAATTCATCATTCTCTACACCCGAGGTCACCTTCTCTGCCGGGTTCCGTCACACCGTAACGCACGCCAATGCATACCCCACATGGAAAAAAATATATATTTAAAATATATTTTTAAAATATTCTTTCCAAATATATTGTCATATATTTGAAAGACTACAAAATATATTTAAATAAATAAATATATATACATACACACATATATATATATACTGCATGTTGAAATGCGATTTTATTACAAAACATATGAAATAATATTTTTTACAAATACATTTCAAATATCCTGTATGTCTTTAAAAATACAAATCTACATTTTTGGAATGCATTCACAAATATATGTAAAAATGACTATTTTAAACGTTAAACAAAAAATCTAAAGAATATATTTTAAGAAATATATGTTTTTAAAAGACACGGGTATCTGAGAGGAGAGAAAGACACAGAGCAGTTATGCCCACCCTACCCCTCTACTGGCCATTCACAGAAGCCTTTGTATTTTGTGAACGTGTTCACGTAATACAAAGTCTTCTGTAATCGGGCAAGAGGAGGGGAGAGGCGGGCATAGATTGTACCGTACTAGACTTAAACTGTTACTAAACCCCGGACCCTGCATTCACTCTATCCAGTCTCCCCGGACCCTGCATTCACTATATCTGGTCTCTCCGAAATCTGCATTCACTATATCCGGTCTCCCTGGACCCTGCATTCACTATATCCGGTCTCCCCGGACCCTGCATTCACTATATCTGGTCTCCCCGGACCCTGCATTCACTATATCTGGTCTCCCCGGACCCTGCATTCACTATATCCGGTCTCTCTGGACCCTGCATTCAATATATCCGCTCTACCCGGACCCTGCATTCACTATATCCTCTCTCGCCGGACCCTGCATTCAAGTATCTGAGAGGAGAGAAAGACACAGAGCAGCTATGCCCACCCCACCCCTCTGCTGGCCATTCACAGAAGCCTTTGTATTTTGTGAACGTGTTCACGTAATACAAAGTCTTCTGTAATCGGGCAAGAGGAGGGGAGAGGCGGGCATAGATTGTACCATACTAGACTTAAAATCTGTTACTAAACCCCGGACCCTGCATTCACTCTATCCAGTCTCCCTGGACCCTGCATTCACTATATCTGGTCTCTCCAAAATCTGCATTCACTATATCCGGTCTCCCTGGACCCTGCATTCACTATATCCGGTCTCCCCGGACCCTGCATTCACTATATCCGGTCTCCCCCCGGACCCTGCATTCACTATATCTGGTCTCCCCGGACCCTGCATTAACTATATCCGGTCTCCATGGACCCTGCATTCACTATATCCGCTCTCCCCAGACCCTGCATTCACTATATCCTCTCGCCCCGGACCCTGCATTCAAGTATCTGAGAGGAGAGAAAGACACAGAGCCGCTATGCCCACCCCACCCCTCTGCTGGCCATTCACAGAAGCCTTTGTATTTTGTGAACGTGTTCACATAATACAAAGTCTTCTGTAATCGGGCAAGAGGAGGGGAGAGGTGGGGTTACTAAACCCGGACCCTGCATTCACTCTATCCAGTCTCCCCGGACCCTGCATTCACTATATCTGGTCTCTCCGAAATCTGCATTCACTATATCCGCTGTCCCGTACCCTGCATTCACTATATCCGGTCTCCCGGACCCTGCATTCACTATCTCTGGTCTCCCCGGACCCTGCATTCACTATAATCTGGTCTCCCTGGACCCTGCATTCACTATATCCGCTCTCCCCGGACCCTGCATTCACTATATCGCTCTCCCTGGACCCTGAATTCACTATATCTGGTCTCCCCAGACCCTGCATTCACTATATCCGGTCCCCTGGACCCTGCATTCACTATATTCGCTCTCCCCGGACCCTGCATTCACTATATCTGCTCTCCCCCGACCCTGCATTCACTATATCTGCTCTCCCCAGACCCTGCATTCACTATATCCGCTCTCCCCGGACCCTGCATTCAATATATCCGGTCTCCCTGGACCCGGCATTCACTATATCCGCTCTCCCCGGACCCTGCATTCACTATATCCGCTCTCCCTGGACCCTGCATTCACTATATCCGCTCTCCCCGGACCCTGCACTCACTATATCTGGTCTCCCCGGACCCTGCATTCACTACATCCGCTCTCCCGGACCCTGCATTCACTATATCTGGTCTCCCGGACCCTGCATTCACTATATCCACTCTCCCCGGACCCTGCATTCACTATCTGGTCTCCCTGGACCCTGCATTCACTATATCTGATCTTCCAGGACCCTGCATTCACTATATCTGCTCTCCCCGGACCCTGCATTCACTATATCTGGTCTCCCACAGTACACAGAACATGGAAATGCAATTAATTTAGCAATTCTAAACTGCTAACTACCTTTTCTCATCAGCAGTATACAGCAGTCTTGTGACTTCTATCAGTGTCCAGCTGAGCACTGATTAAAGCTTGTAGGAGAAGTTTTTTTTCTGCTCTAGGAGGATGCAGAACCCCTGACCTCTGTCTGGACAGTGCTGATTGGCCCTGGGCTGATCACATGCACTCTCCCAAGAAAGAAAAAAAAACCCTCTTTAGCAATACACACTAAACTGAGCATGTTCAGAAGGGCTATGGGTTTCGGGCTGTCTTAGGGGTTAAAATTGTGGATATTTGAACAAGAGGAGGATCAGTGAAGAGAGGATCAAACAGCCATTTTACACAATGCAGAGGATTAACCCCTTAGGTTCCACAGTGAGTATAACAAGCACGCTTTCCTGCATATACAGACCAGGGGGCGGACTGACCATTTGGAAACTCAGGCACCGCCCAAGGGCCCAGGGTCAGTAGGGGGCCCCATGAGATGCCTTGGTACCTTTTTCATAGGCTTTTTTGAGTTTGGGCAAGGACACAGGGGCCCCATGATCCCCTATTGCCCAGGGGCCCCATGGGTTGTCAGTCCGCCCTGATACAGACTGATTTCCCTGTTGGCGGTTTAGTAACTCTTTAACTCCTAGTGTGAATTCATTTTTTTACAAAGGAGCTGAATATCTGGAATTCAGCTTTAAAGATAACGTTTCTTGACAGAAGGAAGTTCTGCTTTGAGTTGAGCTTGATGTGATTTCCCAATAAAAGGTGCGCAGGTGCCCTGGTTGCCATTCGGATGTCTTCTGGCAAAAAGCAGAAAACGCATTTTACAAAACCCGTATTGCATGTGTATGTTCGTCTTGTCAGACTGCGGCCATCACTCCCCCCCCACCAAAAAAAAATCATTGGTATTAATGAATTAAAGATCTGCCAATGATCAGCTTGCAGCCTTGCCTGCTCCCCAAAACACGGTCCAGGTCACGCGTCACGTATGTCACACGTGTTGCCGCAAGAATTCCCGGCGATAAGGATCTGCCTGCTGTTCTCACCCTGATTGTGTATTCCGGGCACAGCCACGGGCAGCACCTCTCAATAAAATCTCCCATTCTGGAAGAATTGTTTCCGCTCACCTTTCAGTAAATCATAGTAATGGTCCATTCCTGTCCAGTCCGGGATATTAAGCCAGAACTCCGGGTATGATATACATACAAAAGACTTTTCCACTTCCCTGCCTTTAAGTTACATTCTCTGTATCCAGCAGAAAGAATTACAGCCTGGATCGCTTCCTCGGGCTGCTTGGATTTAAAGGGGAACTCCTGACAAGAAAAAAAAAAGGATATATACTCATAACGAGTTTATATGTAATGGGCTTTGTGAGGATCTTTCTGGGGCAACTGTCAGAGAGATGGGACGCTCCTAGTTCACACTGCTGCCACTTCTGCTGCGACTTTGCCTCCACCACCTGCGACACAGAGAGTCGCAAGACAAATAAAAACGCATTCATTTCAATGGCTGCAGTGGCAAAAAAATTAGTTCCTGCATTACTTTTCAGCGTCTTTGGTGCGATGTGTCTGCCAGAGACTGCAATGTTAAAATCACAAAAGTCGCAAGGTAGTCGTAACCTTGTATTTATCTTTGTGACTCTGGCTGAGACTTTAAAGTGTAACTAAATCCAAGACCCCGCAATTCACTATATCCGCTCTTCTCCCGTGCCCCACATTCACTATATCCGCCTCCAATCCCCGGACCCTGCATTCACTATATCCGCTCACGCCCCGGACCCTGCATTCACTATATCCGCTCTCCCCCGTGCCCCACATTCACTATATCCGCTCTCCCCCCGGACCCTGCATTCACTATATCCGCTCTCCCCGGACCCTGCATTCACTAAGCTCCCAACTCTCCCTGGACCCCGCATTCACTATATCCGGTCTCCCTGGACCCTGCATTCACTATATCCGCTCTCCCCGGACCCTGCATTCACTATATCCGCTCTCCCCGGACCCCGCATTCACTATAACTCCGCTCTCCCCGGACCCTGCATTCACTATATCCGCTCTCCCCGGACCCTGCATTCACTATATCCGCTCTCTCCCTGGACCCTGCATTCACTATATCCGCTCTCCCCCGGACCCTGCATTCACTATATCCGCTCTCCCCGGACCCTGCATTCACTATATCCGCTCTCCCCAGACCCTGCATTCACTATATCCGGTCTCCCCCCCGCCCTGCACCCTGCATTCACTATATCCGCTCTCCCCGGACCCTGCATTCACTATAACTATATCCGCTCTCCCCAGACCCTGCATTCACTATATCCCTGCTCTCCCCGGACCCCGCATTCACTATATCCGCTCTCCCCGGACCCCGCATTCACTATATCCGCCGCTCTTCCCCCGGACCCTGCATTCACTATATCCCTCTCCCCGGACCCCGCATTCACTATATCCGCTCTCCTCCCCGAGACCCTGCATTCACTATATCCGCTCTCCCCCGGACCCTCATTCACTATATCCGCTCTCCCCGGACCCTGCATTCACTATATCCGCTCTCCCCGGACCCCGCATTCACTATATCCGCACTCCCCGGACCCCCATTCACTATATCCGCTCTCCCCGGACCCCGCATTCACTATATCCGCTCTCCCCGGACCCTGCATTCACTATATCCGCTCTCTCCCCGGACCCCGCATTCACTATATCCTCTCTCCCCGGACCGACCCCCGCATTCACTATATCCTGCTCTCCCCCGGACCCTGCATTTCACTATATCCTCTCTCCCCCGACCCCGCATTCACTATAAATCCGCTCTCCCCGGACCCCCGCATTCACTATACCCCGCTCTCCCCGGACCCCTGCATTCACTATATCCGCTCTCCCCCCCGGAACCCGCATTCACTATATCCGCTCTCCCCGGACCCTGCATTCACTATATCCGCTCTCCCCGGACCCCCATTAGACCCCGCATTCACTATATCCCGCTCTCCCCGGACCCTGCATTCACTATATCCGCTCTCCCCGGACCCCGCATTCACTATATCCTCTCTCCCCGACCCCGCATTCACTATATCCGCTCTCCCCGGACCCCGCATTCACTATATCCGCTCTCCCCCGACCCTGCATTCACTATATATCCGCTCTCCCCGGACCCCTGCATTCACTATATCCTCTCTCCCCGGACCCCGCATTCACTATATCCGCTCTCCCCCCGACCCTGCATTCACTATATCCTCTCTCCCCGGACCCTGCATTCACTATATCCGCTCTCCCCGGACCCTGCATTCACTATATCCGCTCTCCCCCGGACCCTGCATTCACTATATCCTCTCTCCCCGGACCCCGCATTCACTATATCCGCTCTCCCCGGACCCCGCATTCACTATATCCCCCCCTCTCCCCGGACCCTGCATTCACTATATCCGCTCTCCCCGGACCCTGCATTCACTATATCCTCTCTCCCCGGACCCTGCATTCACTATATCCGCTCTCATCCCCGGACCCTGCATTCACTATATCCTCCTCTCCCCGGACCCCCCCGCATTCACTATATCCGCTCTCCCCGGACCCGCATTCACTATATCCGCTCTCCCCCCCGACCCCGCATTCACTATATCCGCTCTCCCCGGACCCCCTCATTCACTATATCCGCTCTCCCTGGACCCCGCATTCACTATATCCGCTCTCCCCGGACCCTGCATTCACTATATCCGCTCTCCCCCCGGACCCTGCATTCACTATATCCGCTCTCCCCGGACCCCGCATTCACTATATCCGCTCTCCCCGGACCCGCATTCACTATATCCGGTCTCCCCGGACCCTGCATTCACTATATCCGCTCTCCCCCGGACCCTGCATTCACTATATCCGCTCTCCCCGGACCCTGCATTCACTATATCCTCTCTCCCCCCCGGACCCTGCATTCACTATATCCGCTCTCCCCGGACCCCGCATTCACTATATCCGCTCTCCCCCCCCCGGACCCCGCATTCACTATATCCGCTCTCCCCCGACCCGCATTCACTATATCCGCTCTCCCCCCGGACCCCGCATTCACTATATCCGCTCTCCCCCGGACCCCTGCATTCACTATATCCTCTCTCCCCGGACCCTGCATTCACTATATCCTCTCTCCCCCTGACCCCGCATTCACTATATCCGCTCTCCCCGGACCCCGCATTCACTATATCCCTCTCTCCACGGACCCCGCATTCACTATATCCTCTCTCCCTGGACCCCGCATTCACTATATCCGCTCTCCCCGGACCCCGCATTCACTATATCCGCTCTCCCCGGACCCCGCATTCACTATATCCGCTCTCCCCGGCCCCCCCGCATTCACTATATCCCAGCTCTCCCCGGACCCTGCATTCACTATATCCGCTCTCCCCCGACCCCGCATTCACTATATCCGCTCTCCCCGGACCCTGCATTCACTATATCTGCTCTCCCTGGACCCTGCATTCACTATATCTCTCTCCCCGGACCCTGCATTCACTATATCCGCTCTCCCCCCAGGACCCCGCATTCACTATATCTGCTCTCCCCGGACCCTGCATTCACTATATCCGCTCTCCCCGGACCCCGCATTCACTATATCCGCTCTCCCCGGACCCTGCATTCACTATATCCGCTCTCCCCGGACCCTGCATTCACTATATCCTCTCTCCCCGAACCCTGCATTCACTATATCCGGTCTCCCCGGACCCTGCATTCACTATATCCGCTCTCCCTGGACCCTGCATTCACTATATCCGCTCTCCCCCGGACCCTGCATTCCCTATATTCGCTCTCCCCCGAACCCTGCATTCACTATATCCGGTCTCCCCCGGACCCTGCATTCACTATATCTGCTCTCCCCGGACCCTGCATTCACTATATCCGCTCTCTCCCCGACCCCGCATTCACTATATCCGCTCTCCCCCGGACCCCGCATTCACTATATCCGCTCTCCCCCGGACCCTGCATTCACTATATCCAGTCTCCCCGGACCCCGCATTCACTATATCCGCTCTCCCCGGACCCCGCATTCACTATATCCGCTCTCCCCGGACCCTGCATTCACTATATCTGCTCTCCCCGGTACCCTGCATTCACTATATCCGGTCTCCCCGGGACCCTGCATTCACTATATCTGGTCTCCCCGGACCCTGCATTCACTATATCTGCTCTCCCCCGGACCCCGCATTCACTATATCCAGTCTCCCCGGACCCCGCATTCACTATATCCGCTCTCCCCGGACCCTGCATTCACTATATCCAGTCTCCCCTGGTTACCCCGCATTCACTATATCCGCTCTCCCCCCGGACCCCGCATTCACTATATCCGCTCTCCCCGGACCCTGCATATCACTATATCTGCTCTCCCCGGACCCTGCATTCACTATATCCGGTCTCCCCTGGACCCTGCATTCACTATATCTGGTCTCCCAGGGCCCTGCATTCACTATATCTGGTCTCCCTGGACCCCCGCTTTCACTATATTCACTCTCCCCAGGACCCTGCATTCACTATATCCGGTCTCCCAGGACCGCTGCATTCACTATATCCGGTCTCGGTCTCCCCAGACCCTGCATTCACTATATCTGGTCTCCCCCGGACCCTGCATTCACTTAGATTCCGGTCTCCACCCGGACCCTGCAGTTCACTATATCTGGTCTCCCAGGACACTGCATTCCTCAGGGTCACGTGCTAAGTGTGACACAACACGTCGGTACGCGGGGAGGAACTTCCGGTAACGCAGTGACGTCATTTCCAGGGTGGGGGCCATATTGGAACACCCTTTGCAGATACCCATGCAGTACACCTTTAGCATGTGGTAGAAAGGCAGACATATGAGGGAGAAAAATGTGAGTGGACATTTTTATGTTTATTTTATGCATATTCTAGAAATAAAACAGGTTACACTATGGAGGATCTTTTTGTTTTCTTATGATCCTGGGAGAGGTTTGCTGGTAGGTGTGTGGAGGCCTGGATTGAGGAGCACATACCCACCGATGAGGGGGAGCCTGTGATGAGTCTGTCCTTATTAAGATCGGAGTGATCCCCTAAGCGAGCTGGCCCTTTGGGTCTATTGTAAGGAGGTGAGGGGGCATTTTGGCCACTGAAGGATTGCCACGTATTGATCACCTACACAGTATCGGAAGTTGGAGCACCATCATACAGTGGGGAAAAAAAAGTATATAGTCAGCCACCGATTGTGCAAGTTCTCCCACTTACAAAGATGAGAGAGGCCTGTAATTGCATCATAGGTAGACCTCAACTATGAGAGACAAAATGAGAAAACACAAATCCAGACAATCACATTGGCTGATCTGGAAAGAATTTATTTGCAAATTATGGTGGAAAATAAGTATTTGGTCACCTACAAACAAGCAAGATTTCTGGCTCTCACAGACCTGTACCTTCTTCTTTAAGAGGCTCCTCTGTCCTGCACTCATTACCTGTATCAATGGCACCTGTTTGAACTTGTTATCAGTATAAAAGACACCTGTCCACAACCTCAAACAGTCACACTCCAAACTCCACTATGTGAAGACCAAAGAGCTGTCGAAGGACACCAGAAACAAAATTGAAGACCTGCACCAGGCTGGGAAGATTGAATCTGCAACAGGCAAAGCAGCTTGGGGTGTGAACAAATCAACTGTGGGAGCAATAATTAGAAAATGGAAGACATACAAGACCACTGATAATCTCCCTCGATCTGGGGGCTCCACGCAAGATCTCACCCCGTGGGGAGTCAAAATGATCACAAGAATGGTGAGCAAAAATCCCAGGACCACACGGGGGGGACTTAGTGAATGACCTGCAGAGAGCTGGGACCAACGTAACAAAGGCTACCATCAGTAACACACTACACCACCAGGGGACTCAGATCCTGCAGTGCCAGACGTGTCCCCCTGCTTAAGCCAGTACATGTCCGGGCCCCGTCTGAAGTTTGCTAGAGAGCATTTGGATGATCCAGAAGAGGATTGGGAGAATGTCATATGGTCAGATGAAACCAAACATAGAACTGTTTGGTAGAAACACAACTCGTCGTGTTTGGAGGAGAGAGAATGCTGAGTTGCATCCAAAGAACACCATACCTACTGTGAAGCATGGGGGTAGCAACATCATGCTTTGGGGCTGTTTCTCCACAAGGGGACCAGGACGACTGATCCATGTACAGGACAGAATGAATGGGGCCATGTAAAATGTGAGATTTTGAGTGCAAACCTCCTTCCATCA